TTTTTTTTTTTTTTATCATCTTTATAGTAACCCAGCTGACCCTGCTCTTTGGTCTCTGTTGTCCCGAGTGGTTGCCCAGCATGCTCAACGAAATGCAAAAGTGAGTATCTTTCTGTCCTGAATTCTGACAGAAAGATAAAATAACTTGTGATGTGGTAAATAATATAATTTTAAAATATTGGCATTAGCATTCTGGAAAATAATTAACTAATGTAGCAAGGGAATTCTATTCTTTAACGAAGTTTTCTATCAGTAGTACACTGAGTTTCTTCCATGTGCTATCGTACTGCTCTGGGTGTTACAGAAAATGGAGAGAAGGAGGTGGACTTTTTTGAACATGTTATGGTTATGTGATAATATTATGCTTGTAATGTTGCCATTTAGTAAGCGTTAGCTATTGTGTCTCTGAATCCCAAAAGATAATTTTACTTAAAAGCTTCTTGAAGGTAAGAAAATAAGCACTGGAACACTGCAAATTATCTGAAAATGTGAGTAAACATGAAGTCACTGATGTTCTATAAAAGGGATTTTCACTGTATTTTAGTTCATAACAGCCAGATATTTTCAGGAGTCTATAAAGTATTTTGTTAACCTCTTTCTGTGTGTAATATGTCCATTCATAGTTTACATAAGTAGTTGGTAAACATTATGGTCGTAGCTAATATGTTTTGAACACTTATTACGTCTAATAATTTTACAGTGCCTTAAGTCTGTGTGCGTCTTTTTTTGTTTATTATTTCAACTGGTTTTCATGCTAGCTTTGTTTCTTGGTTTGCCTGACTGGGTGAGCTTGTAGATTTTTTTTGTGGTAATAATTTGAGGCCTAGAATTGAGGTATATTTCTACAGAAAGAAATTGTACTTTTTTCTACCAGGTGTTTGTGAGCTTCACCAATCTGGAACCACCTTAAAAAAGATTTATAGCTTGAGGTTTCTGGACCAAGCAGGTTGCTGTGTGCCTGGGTTTCAAGGTCATTTGAATCCTGGTTTACTTTTGATTCACTTTTAATCTGAGTGTATAGCGCCTTGATTGGCGGGTCAAGTATCTTAGCTTATTTTGATATGAATTTCCTATATACTCCTTCCTTGTGTGAGCCCTGCCTGGGCTCTGATTTCTGTCCCACTAGCCCGCAAGTCCTTCAGACTGAAAATTAAAATTTGTTAGGATCTGCAAATGCAGAACTGCCTTCCTTCACTTACCTCTGTGAATTCCAGTTTTCCTTTTTAGTTTTGGCTCCTTAATATCTTGTCAGCTTTCTAGTGCTTTTAAGAATACATGCTTTTTATATTTTATCCCAGTGCTTAAACTTAAATGTGCAAATGAAATCACCTGATAATTTTGTTAAAATGCAGATTCTAATTCAGGTCAGGGGTGGCGCCTGATTTTCTGCATTGCTAACAACCTCCTGGAGAATGTCAGTTGTGCTGGTGTACAGGTCACACTTTGAGTAGCATAGTTTTTTCCTACATTTTTAGTTCTTTTCAGTGAATGAGTTTGTTCACAGAACCTAAAAGACCATGATTATTAGACATTGGAATAAAGTACTTATTATGTGCCAGCTATTATGCTAGGTATTTTTATATATTTTGTCATTTAATATGAAGTAGATGCAATTAGAGGAGGACACTTGAGACATAGAGATTAAATAACTTGAGCAAAATCACAGTTAGTAGATGTGGTGATGGTTTATCTCAGATCTAACTCTTGAATCCTCCTGCTCTGCTGTGTTGTCTTTCTTCTTTTTAATCCATCTTCTATTTGCTTTATATTGACATTTAAAAATTTTTTATTTTTAGCATTCTTTATATGCTAAATATGGTTTTGAAAACATTTCTGATACACTTATGAGATAAAGAATATAGGATATTTCTAATTTAAAATGAAATAATTCTTATAATTCACTTTTCTAGGTAAAATGTCTAGTGGAATTTTTAAAAATTAAGGATTTCAAATCAACTTTATGAAAACCACAATGATGTATATATTTTCCTTATTTTTAATATTGAGTTATTATTAAAGCAGTGACAAGCTTCATGATGCTCTGAACTTTAGTTATTCATTTTACTAGGGACTATGGACATTTTAAAAATACTGTTTTTCATGGAGTGAAGCCATATTTGTCTTACAATAAGTTTTGTGGTTTCTGTTTTTTTTTTCATTCAATCTTTGTTTCACACTCTTGTATATTGTTAGAAAATTATGTATTTGTTTCTTACCACTGTAAAATCATGTAACTTTTGGATCTTTAATGAATATTTTAAAAGAACAGAGTTGAAATGATCGTAGTAGAAAACGGTTTTTCTTTTATAAAAATATTAACCTTTTTTTTAAAGCAGTAATAAGTTGGTATTTAAGAAGTTAGGGGTTATGAATGTGATAAAAGCAAACCTTTCAAATGATTTAATGTAAAGATTTATCAGTCTGTTTTCACTTTTTGTGAAAGTTTATGCATTTATCTAAGTAATCATTTGTTTACTATTATAGGGAGGTGCAGTAGCAGGAAACGTGGCTCATATCCTGGACTCAAATCATGGAAAGGTTAGTTTGCCCCTGTTCAAACGAAGTGTTCTACTTGTTAAATAGTATTATTGATGAAAGAGTAATTTTTCTTCCTAGGCTTAGGGTCACATCATATCCAATATAGTCCTACTTTTAGTCACTTTGAAAGTCAGGAAACTATAGAGAGAATTGGTTAACATCCTTCCTTTCTCTTATGTAGAAGGCGTTACTGTACACTGCAATCAATCAGTTGGCTATGGGAAGCAATTCAGCAGAAGATGAAAAAAATACTGCACTAAAGACCATTCAAAAGGCAGCGCTCCTTTCTCCAGGTGAATATAATATAATCTATTTCATTATTTAGGACTCTGTCAATCTTGCATTTGTGACTTATAGAGGCAAAATTTGTATTTTTATGAAATAAAGGGATTTTAAAATATTTTAAGATTTTGCATATTATTTGATTATCTCCATTCAGATAATTTTAATTTTATATGTAGTATCTAATATCAGATAGTAATTCTCATAATTAAGAGATAATAAGCTATTGAAGTAGGCTCAAAGGGTTATCTGTTTAGAAATACTTTATTACCCATTATTGAAAATCTGAATTATACATTTTCAAGAAGTAGTTTTATTTGTTTTCTATCAGTCTTGTTTAATGAGATTTATCTATAGCTACTAAGTTATTTAATAAACATAATTTAGTTATTTTTATGTGTGATTAGCTCCTTGAAGAGTGGAGCAATGTCTTCTGTGGTAACTGCTAGAACTGCCGAGGTGCTGGCCTCACTGGACTAGCCTGTCTTTAGTTGTAACCAGATGAGTCGCTTGTATGCCATTGGTCACAAAAGGTACCGAGGAACTGCATTTGGACTGCATCAGCGTACTTCCGTCACCACCACTGGAGGAGTACTTTAGAGGACTGGAATATTTAGCAAAGTAGGATTACGGGATGTATTTTTACATAATTTTGTTTTTAATGTGATATATAACTATAAACAATATATTCCGCCAGAGCACTTCAGACTTTAGTTAAATCAGAATATTATTGCTTTTGGCCACCGACTGGGGAAACACATTGTACAAAGAACAGGTAAATGCTATCTTTACAATAAATGGTAAAGATCTGAACTACACTTCAGAGATTATTCTATAAAACAAGTAAACAGACCATTGTCTTGCTGTTTATTCTCTCTTTCATTTTTGAAATAGAACAAAAAGAAACCCTAAACATTTGGTTTTGTCTGTGCTATATATTGGGTGAATTTCTGATTTTTAAAGGTGTTCTTAAGCAAGTATTAGGTATAGAATCACTCTTAAGAATGTTTACTGTGGATCTAGAATGACAGAAGATCTGTTAACTTTTGATTGTGTAAGTGGCATATACTTTAGAGAGGTGAGATTGCCCAGATGAGATCTTCTTTAATCATCTTCTCTGATTTTCCCATATTTGGGAAAACTCATACACAAAGAAACAGAGTCATCATATAAGAAACTTAAAGCAGGAACTGATTAATGAAGATGAGTGCTTGTTTGAGACTTGTTTTTGGAATCCAGTGAAAGTGAATGTAATTGTTGTTATGTGTAATAGCTGTACACCTAGCCTTTGTAGACCTTTAGTTAAACAAAGTACAGTTGTTTCAGAAGTTTAAATATAATTCCAATAATTTAAAACTGATGGAAAGAAATCCAGTTTCTGTTAGATTAGTGCTTCTGTTTTATTAAAAGGTATTTTTAGGAAACTATATTAAAAATTTGGGGTTTCTACTTTATGCATGTGTATATGTATATATATATATAAATAATATTTACATTATCACTTTGTTTCATAGAGAATTTGAGTTACTAATCATCTATAGGAGAGTTAACGAAAATAGCAATTCTTTTGAATTATAGCAAGAAATTGCTGCAGCTAATGTCAGTCCCCTCTCCCAAAAATCTAAGCTATAGAATACTCTAAGATCCTTAAATGAATTGTTCACTTAATCTTAGAAATAGGTCAATATTCAGAAGTTGAGTCTAATTCATTTGGAATTACAGGATTTTAGACCTGAGGGCACCTGAGCCATCATTTAATTCAGATGCCTTATTTTATAGAAATATGAGTCCCAAAGGAAAAGCTACTGCACAGTTAATTAGTGGCATTGTTAGACCTAAAACCCTAATCTAAGACTCAGTCATATGCCTTTCATTATATAGTAATCAGATCTCATCATAAATTCTAGGAAATGGTCCTTTTTCTGGATTTGATTATATCTTACTTTATTTAAACTAAGGTAGTCATCATCTGGGCAGAAATTATTTTGTAATATGAAGGTATATATTTAATTTTTTATAAAATTTTTCATCTGCATAAGATTTCTTATGATTTTTGTACAATTAGCAGTAATACTGACCATCTATAAATGAAACAGATATATATTTTAAACATCTGATAAGAGATATATATTGGATGGGACAGTTAGGTAAGAAAAAAAAAATAAAACTAGACCAAAAACCAATGTTTAAGTGACTGTATTGTTAATCAGCACCCCTTGTGGGACTTAAAAATTACCCATTTTTTAAGGATAGCAACACTAAAATATTAACCACGTAAATATTAACCTGCAAAATATGACTTATGAAATAAAAGATCAAACAAATAAGAAAAAGCACCTAAGTTCCAAATCCCAATCCCCTTTTTCTTTTCACAACTAACTTTCATGAAAGGAGGAGTCTATACTCATGATCTCTGTTATTACCTCCTCAACCCACTGATACCAGGCTTTCCCTTTTCTCCTGAAGCTACTATCAAGATGTGAAGGAAGGAGGAAAAGAGCAAATGAATGAAGAGATATATACTCTTTTAATTGCTTCACTTGCAATGATAAAATGACTTTCATGCTTGACTCTTAGAACATAAGTAAAATGGAGTTGTCTTGAGCTTTTCCTTTGACTCAAACTTTTCTTAAGAACTGAGAAATTGTGTTACCTTGCTTTTCCTATGACTGAGCCTTTTAATACAGGGACTGAATGATGAACGCAGATGTCTCTTTGAGAGTAGCCCTTAGTGTTCAGTGAAAGTGAGTATAATTGACCTTCTCACAGTAGCACACTAGTCAAGGCAAGTGAGGTAACCAGTGATGGAAGAAGAGCTTAATAGGATATTTCTCATTTTCTGATGTGTTTGGAAGAAAATGACAAATCTTGAAGGGTGAATATAGTAATGTGGCTTCTGGAAAAAGTATGAATTAGTTTTTCTTTAAGAAAATGAAATTTTTCTGGAGGGACTCTTTAATTAAATGAATTAATTAATTTGATATTTATAAAGTCTTACTTTCATTTTTGGTAGTTTTATAGCAAGGTATTGATATTAACAAGCCTTCAAACTATATTTCCTGTGTTTAGGTGATCCTGCTGTTTGGGCGGGGCTAATGGCAGCCTGTTATGCTGATAATAAACTGGCTCTAGTGAACAACACTCAGCCAAAGAGGATGGACTTATACTTAGCACTGTTATCTGCTATTTCTGCCTCCAGTAAGTTTAAAAGAGCATTTAATACATGGTAAATTCAGGGTAGAGTACTCAGAAGGATATTGCCAAAAGGTAGCAGGCACAATTAGCCCTGTGCTAAAAGCTGTTACATGCTCCTCTAACAAAGCTTAAGGACAAGCCTTGAAAAGATCAAATCATTTTGAAGGAGCTTACCTGCATACCAAATAAAGTTCAAGAACATTATAGGAATACAGAAATATCCAGCATTCAACAAGGTGACATTCACGATGTCCAGTATCCAGCTAAAACTTAATATACATACAAACAAGCAGAAAAATAACACCCACAATGAAGAGAAGAATCAACCAATAGAAACAGAACCATAAATGACACATGATAGAAATCTCTTTAAAAAGTAATTGACTTGGGGGAAGGTATAGCTCAGTGGTAGGGTTTGTGCTTAGCATGCACAAGTTCCTGGGTTCGATCCCTAGTACCATTACATAAATAAATAGATAAAAATAAACTTAATATCACCCCCCCAAGAAAATGTAATTGACTATTTAAAGCATATATGACAGTAATAGCATAAAGACCGAGAGGGGAAAATGGAAGTATTTTGTTGTAAAGTTTTTATACTATAAGTGAAGTGGTTTAATATTATAGTCATTCCTTGTTATCTGTGGGGGATGGGTTCCATGACCCCCTCAGATGCCAAAATCTGCAGATGTGTAAGTCTCTTAAATAAAATGTATAATACAGTTGGCTCTCAGTATCCACGGGTTTCACATATGTATATACAGAGGGCTGATTATACTTAAAAGTAGACTGTGACAGGTTAAAGATGAATACTCTAAACTTTAAAGCAGACACTAAAAAAAAGTTATCACCTAATAAGTCACCAAAATAGAAAAAATGGGATATAAAAAATAATCCCAAAAAGGAGGAAAAGGGAACAAAGAATAGATAAAGAGAAAACAAAACAGTAGAGTTAATTAAACCCAACCATATCAATAATCAAGTTAAATATATAGAATACAGAAATCAAGTTAAATAAACAGATACAGAAATTTATAACCAAATTTTAGCAATTCAAATCTAATAACATGTCAAAAAAGATAATATATCATAATCAAGTGGGGATTATCCTAGGAATGCAAGGTTGCTTTAATATTTGAAAATGAATGTAACTTACCATATTAACTGCTATGAAAGATACCAATAAGTTTATACTTTATAATTCCATTTATATGAAATTTTAGAATGTAAACTGACCTATTGTGACTGAAAATAATTAGTAGTTTCCAGGGGACAGAGGGAAAGAGGAAAGGTGGGATGGGGAACAGAAGTGATTATAAAGGGATTGGAGGAAACTTTTCATGATGATGAGTATGTTCATTATCTTGATAGTAGTGATGGTTCACGGATGTACACTTACGTCAGAAGTCATCAGATTTACAGTTTGAATATATGTGTATGTGCATTTTATCGTATATCAATTATATTGCAATAAATGTTTAATTTTTTTCAATGAATTGTTTTCAGTTTTACTGAAGATCGCAGTGATACTTTATGTTAGTCACAAGTGTATAAAGTCTTAAGTTATTCAGCCACAAATATCCATACTATGAAACTTTTCAGAAACCTGTCTCATGTCAGGATAGTCTATGGTATTCCAGTGATATGTGTAGGTTTTAAGAACTATATATGTATGATAAGTTTAATTATAATACTCCTTAGTAACTACTCCTCTCAGAACACGTTATAAATTGCAGAAGAAAGTAACATTGACATTTCTTGTTTACAGTTAAAGATAAAGAATTCCTTGAAAATTACAACCAATCTCTTGAAAAGTGGTCTCTCTCCCAAGCTGTCACTGGCCTAATAGACACAGGAAGAATATCTGAAGCTGAAGCCCTCTGCACAAAGGTCTTGTTATGAAATTGAGATTCATGGATTCTTACCCTACTTGGAAAATAACTTCAAAAATAGAGTACACCTTATTTAAAAAGCTTTTGGTGGTGGTGGTAGTGGTGATGATGATTGTGTACCCAGTATTTATTGAGTGCTTACGTATAAGCCAGTCGATACAGTTAACAGTTTGTATTTGAACTACACAATCCTATGACATAGGTGTTTATCCCCATTTTTCCAAATAAGAAAACTAAGGCTTAAAGAGGGTAGGTGATTTGTACAAGAGTTCACAGGTAGAAATTGATAGAGTTGCTGTTTGAGCTCTCATTTGTCTGACTTTTAACACTTAGAGTTTTAACTTTTTTGGGGTTTTTTGTACCATGTAGAAGCAATATTTTCTTTTGATTTCTGGTTACTTTCTTCAGAATGTAATGGTTTCCAGCATCCTTGCATTTTTCGAAAATTCTGAACCACGTAGAATGATTATGTTGATTGTTAACTGGGTGAATGGAATTATTGAGTAGTTACTTTTTAGCTACCTGGATTGTAGGCTCTGTGAGTAAATTCTTATACCTTGCCTAACACATAGTATTTACTATATTTATTGAATAAACAAATCAGCCTCATAAATCTACTCAAAAATAATTTAATGGATAAAGAGAGTTTTAAATACCACTTTTCCTGAAATCATCTTTTCTCATAAATGCTTACCAGGGAGATTGTATTGTCTTTCTAGAATTTTTTTTTTCTGGAAAAATCAATATAAACTTTACAGAGAAAGAAGAATGGATCTTTGAAGATCTCTTTGGTCCTTGAATTCTCTGAAAAGCAGAGTAATACATTTTCTCTTTTATTTATTTAAGAAATTCCATCTAAGTTCAGGATAGGTTAGTATAATACAGTGAGTGTTTAGTAAGCTTAAATTGACAATTGCTTCATGCTCTCTCTAACAGAATAAGGGATAATTTTATGAACCTTTCCTCATTACTTTAATGTTCCAGTCTCTTACTTAAAAGAAAGCAAACACAAACATTTCAGAAATAAATACATTTAGGACTATGACCTAATAATAGAAAGTAGCGAAGTGTGCTATTGAGAGACAAGCAATAACTAAAGAATTGTTTAAAACAATAGTGGAAGGACTTCTTTAACTTCTTCTTGTATGTGTATTTGTGTGTATATATACACATATACACACACACACATATATACGTGTACAACATACATACATAATATATTTATGCACATATAATACATTTATGTGTGTGTATATTTATGTTTTAAAGTATAAATAAATGGCTTAGGGAAATGTACAAATGGATCAATTCTCTTACTCCCAGTATGTAAGAAGTCTGCACCTGGAGGAAGGACATACCATACAATGAATATCTTTGTTAAAAAGGTTGAGAAAGGAAAAGATTTATAGCTCTTTCCTTCTTATATATTATAGTTTCTTCCAATAAGGAATAATATTAGCCTTCACTGTTAATTTTGTATTTTCTTAGTTCAGCTGTTTACATTTGGAATCTAATTTTTTTAGGATGTCACCTAAGAATAAACCAAGTCAAAGGGACGTGCTAAATCTAAGATTAATGACTCATACACTACAGTAATAGCATTATTCATTTTAGAGTTTATTTAAATGTAGAGTTTGATATTCCCAAGATGTTCTATTTGTTTTACATTGGCTGTTGTTTATTTTTTTAATAAGGAAAGGTTAAATTCAGGCGTTTTTGTTTTTAGTATGGAGAATAGCTTAATTGCCTTTTACATTTAACATTTAAAAACCTATTTGATGTATTTCTATTTGGTATTTAATTTTTAGAATTTAAAAAGTAACCCTGATCAGCCAGCTGTTATCTTACTTTTGAGACAAGTTCAATGTAAACCACTCCTGGAGTCACAAAAACCTCTCCCAGATGCTGTCCTTGAAGAGCTGCAGAAAACAGTCATGTCCAACTCAACCTCTGTTCCAGCTTGGCAGGTAAATTCCCTCTTTTTTAATGTAAGTCCTTAATTAAAATGCTTCTTGATATCAAATGAGGTCAGGGTATGCTCCATTTTCTTTGTCTTGCCCTTAAACTCACCATATATTTCTCATTTTCAAGATTTAAGGGTATTGTGATTAGAGAAACTAAAGAAGTTGAATACTCATTTAGGATCTACTGCTACACTGCTTCAAAGCTTTTAAAATTGTTGATTATAAATTTCCTCCATTTAAAACAGTGTTGAAAATACTGTCTTTTACAGGAGGTTTAATGTAAGAGAGCTAAGTGTTAACATTTTATAATAAGGTTACCATAATGGTGTTTAACTCTACCTTTAGGGGCAGTGCGTGTAGTTTTTTTAAAGCCACTTTATAGGTAACGTATATCCAAGATTTTAATGGGTTTTTAATGCCTTTAGAAATATTTTCAGGATTGATTCCTGAATCAATAGACTGTCTGCCCTTTCAGCTGACTCTGGTTATCCACAATGACAAATACATAATGATCACTGTGTACTTTATTCTTACTGATACTAAAATACAAAAAGTATGTAATTATTTTATTCAATTTGTCATAGTTCTTTCTGTGTTCCAGAGACAGTATGAAAGGGGCTTTTTGATATAGATTTTACAGAAGCTTATTTTACAACAGTTTGTTCTTCATTTAGCTCTTTTGTTATTTCAACATTTTGATTGCTGCTTAAAAAGGTTATGTAATGGTATAAAATAGTTGGATTATGCAAGCTAAGCCTCCTTTTTGCTTTAATTCTTGAAGAAAGATGTTGCTTTTTTCCCTCAGAATAAATTTGCCATATGAGGGTTAAGATACTTTAATTCTGAGGTCAACTGGATATTGATGATCTCTTATTCTTTATCAAGAGGAAAAACATCTTGTCAAACTAAAAGGGAAAATTTAAAGGATAAATTATACAGTGAGTAAAGTCTTAAGAGATAGGGTGTATGTTTTCTTTTATACTATGATATAATTCACAATGAATAGAGTGTAAAAATCTTAAAAGTACCACTCATTACATATGTATGTACCTTTTTAACCACTACCTTTATATCAGAATATTTCCCACAGCTTAGCTGTCTCCTCTGTGCCACTGCCTTTGTAATCTCTCCCACCTCAAAAAAAAATAAATAAAAAGGGAACCACTATTCTGACCTCTATCACTTCTATCTAATTTTGCCTGTTTTTGAACTTGATATAAATGGAGTATCCTGTTGTACCTGATTAGTTTCATTCAACATTGCCTCTGTGAAATTCATTTAGTTGTTTCATATAGCCATAGTTTTTTTCATTTATTTTTATGACTATACTGTAAAATATCTCTTTTACTGTTGATGGACATTTGGATTCCACTTGACCCTTGAACATCACAGGTTTGAACTGCACAGGTCCACCTATACATGGATACTTTTCGATAGTAAATACTGTAGTACTGTACGGTCTATGATTGGTTGAATCCTTGGAACTATAGATACAGTATCTATGTTGTTCAAGGGTTCACTGTGTTTCCAGGTTTTGGCTATTATGATTAATGCTGCTGAGTCCATCCTGGAATATGTCTTCTGGTGGGTGATAGAGTATGTGTATATTTACTTTTATTGGTCCCGTCAAATGGTTTTTTAAAATGATTGTCCAACTTAAGTTCCCACCAGCAAATTATGAGCAGCTGAATTGCTGATATTCCTAGATGGTGGTTATTGTTTTCCCTTTTCAGTGAATGTGTGGGTAGTAGTATCTTGTGGTGGTTTTAACTTGAATTTACCTGATGACAAATGCTGTTGAGCCTCTATTCATATACTTATTGAACCTTTGGATATCCTCTTTTTAGAGTATTTTTTCCTTAGTGCAGTTTTTCATGTGTTGTTTTCTTACTGAATTGTTGGAATTTGTTATATTTTCTGGGTACAAGCACAGTTTTGGATGTCTCTGTTGCAGGCATTTTCTCACATCTGTGCCTTGGCTTAACACTTTCTTAATATTACTTTTTGATAAGTAGTTCTTAATGAAATCTAGTTTTTCATTTTTAAATGGTTAATGCTTTATTGAGGCATTCTATTTAAGAACCCTGCTTAACCTCAAGTTCATGAAGATACTGTTCTGTTTTTCTTTAGAAACAATTGTTTTACCTTTCACATGTAAATCTATAGTTCATCCTGGATTAATTTTTGTGAATGTTACAGGGTCAGGGTTCATTTTTTTTTCATGTGAACATGTAATTGTCCTAGCACCATCCTTTGAAAAGAACGTTATGTCTCCACTGGATTGTAGTGATGCTTTTGTCATAAATCAGGTGATTGTGTATGTGTGGGTCATTTAGGGCTCCCTGTTCTTTTACTTCTTTTTCACTGATCTGTTTGTTTATTCTTGCTAACAGCTTTATAATTAGTTTTGATGTGTGGAGGTAATATTAAGAGCTCCAGCTTTTTTGTTTTCCTTCAAGTTTGTCTCAGTCATTTTAGGTCTTGCATTTACATATAAATTGTCAATTACCCTCCCCTCCCCAACAAAGCAAAAGCCCTACTGGGATCTTGATTGGAATTGCATGAATCTATAGTTTAATTTGGAGAGAAATGACAAAGTATTACTATTGAGTTTCTCTATCCAGAAATGTTTTATAGTCCTCATTATTTAAGTTTTAAGTTTCTCTAAGCAGTGTTTTACAGTTTTCAATATAGAGGTCTTTTACATTTTTGTGTTACATTTATTTCTAAGTTGATTTTTTTTGCTCTATTACAAGTAGTATTTTTTTCTGTATGTTACTGTCAAACATGTAGAAATACAGTTGGTTTTTATATATTAACCTTCCAGGAACCTTGCTAAATAAATTCACTTATTCTTTTGAAATGGTTTTGGGTTTTCTATATACACAATTATGTGCTTTGGAATAATGAAGTTTCACTTTTTCTTTCCAATATTTTTATGCTAATTTTTTCTTGCCATATTGCACTGTATAAAGCCTCCAATACAATGTTAAGCAGAAGTACTGATAAGGGAGCATTCTTCTTTTATTCTCTACCTCAGGTAGAAAGCATTTACAATGTCATGATTAAGTATAATATTTGCTTTAGGTTTTTGTAGGTTTGTCTATCAGATTCAAAAATGGCTTTCCAGTTTATATTCCAGATTAAGGAAGTTCTTTTCTATTCTGAGTTTATCGAGAAAGATTTGTTTTTTATTATGAATGAGTGGGTTTTGCAGGGAGCATCTATGAAAATGGTTCCTTTTCTTTATTCTGTTAATGTGGTAGATTGCATTGATTTTCAAACGTTAAATCAACATTTCATTCTTAGAAGAAACCCTACTTGGTCATGACATATTATATATTGCTAGAGTCAATTTGTTAATTTCTTTGTTTAGAATTTTTGTACCTATATTCATGAGAGAGATTGGGCTGTAATTTTTCTTTCTCTTGAGGTTATTGTTAGGTTTTGGTATCTGTGTTATTCCTTTTTTGTCTATTTTCTGAAAGAGTTTGTATAAGAGTAACATTTATTTCTTTAATGTTTGGAAGAATTCATCATTGAAGCCATTCAGGCCAAGAATTTCCTTTATAGAAAAGTTTGTGTCTTTTTAAATTAGAGATTAAATTTTTTAAATAGACATAGAACTCTGAAGATTTCCTGTTTCTTTAACATTAGTGAGTTGCAAGGAATTTATTCAGCACAACTCTATTTCAAATTTATTAGCATAAAGTTGTTCAAGATACCCTCTTTTTTTGGTAAAATCTGTAATAATTTTCCCTTCTGTATTCTTATATTGGTAATTTTGTGTTGTCTTGATAACAAGCAATTTTATTAACGTTTCAAAGAACCAGCTTTTTGTTTTGATTTTATTATACTTTCTTTACATGTTATTTATTTCTTTGTTATTTACTTAACTTTCTTTGGATTTAGTCCCCCCCACCCCCAGCTTCTTGACATAGAAACTTACAAATTTTTCATCTTTCTGCAATATATGCACCTCTTAAGATTTTATGTAATGCTTTCATTATCATTCATTTGAAATGTTTTCTCATTTCTAGTTTAATTCCACTTAATCAGAATGCACTTTGTGTGATTTTAATTATTTGAGATGTGTTCAGACTTGTTTTATGACCTATTGTAAGGTCAGATTTGATAAATGCTGCATACACATTTGCAAAGAATGTATTTTGCAGTTATTGAGTGTAGTCTTCTAAATATGTCATTTAAGACAAGCTGATTATGTTTAAATCTTCTGTATCTTTACTCTTTTGTCTGTTTCTTTCATCATTGCTGAATTAGGCATGTTAAAATCTCTTAACTTTGTTTCTGGATCTGTCTCCTTCATTTCTATCAACCTTTGCTTCATAAATTCTGTGATTAGGTGTACACAAATGTCAGAATGTTATATCTTCTTGTTGAATTGACTGTTTCATCATTATGAAGCAACCCACTTTATCTCTTAACATTTCTTGTCTTAAAGTCTACTTTGTTGGTACAGCTATGAAAACTGCTTTGATTAGTATTTATATGATATATCTGTAATGTGTAAAAAAAATCACATTGAATTTTTATTTTGTTCTTGACTTGCCATCTTGGGAGACCTTTTAAGACTTCAGAGTAGATGCAGATAGTAAGCTGTTGCTAATGGAATTGGTGAGAATGCCTACCTCTTTCTTGACTTGTGATTTTTGTTGTAGGGGCACAAAATTTACCAGTAATTAAATTAAAACTGTAACTTTATCAAAGTCAATTGAATTTGTTGGAAGTAGAATGTGTACTAAACTAAATCTTTTGGGATCTTCTCTTTCTGTTCCTCAGTGGCTGGCACACATTTATCAGTCGCAAGGGATGATGGGTGCTGCAGAGATGTGTTATAGGAAAAGTCTCCAAGTAGCATCCCAGCAGGGCAGCTGGAGTGGGAAGCTCTCAAGTTTGTTGAGACTAGCACTGCTTGCATTAGAAGTCTGCATGGTAAGATCATGTTGTTATTATTATTATGAAAAATTGATTCTTTTATTTTTTGTAGGATAAAAGCTTTTTACATAGTGATATTCCATAGAGTGCCTATTGTCTCATCGCCTTCTAGCATGATCTCCTTATGGATTTTGTATTTGGGCTTTTGATGGGCATAAGAGTAGCATAACATAAACCCATAGATTACGGCAGAACATTGTCACTGTTTAGGGGAAAAACAAAGATTATAATTTTAAAAGTTGAATTTTGGCAAAATATACCTTTTTGTTTCTTAGTGATTTAAGTTAGAATTAACCTAGCTAGTCATCTGTGACAAAGATGCCAATAATTGACATTTTAGTCATTTCTCAGTTCAATTTGACATTCTATAAGAGGGATTTCTAGTAATTTTTTGGCTTGATATGTTTTCTGACACTAAGTTAGGTATATTAGTGTAGAAGTTTTATATGCTACTGTGGAAAACTCTTCAAGATAAATATTTAAGTGGATGTGAAAGAGCAAACTGCGGAACAGTGTGTATGATACTGTATTTGAGTGTATTATGTGAGGTATATATTTTTAAGAATATATATCTCGAAATATATTCTGTGCATTTGCATGTGTGCACACTAATAGGGACGTAGATATAAAAAGATATAAAGGAAACTTAATGGCAGTTATGTTGGAGAGTAGTACTGGGGGTCTTAAGTGGTGGTAGGGGAGAATTTTTCATTTTATATCTTTTGATGGTATTTGATTTTTTTATCATATGCATGTTACTTCTGTAATTAAAAGATAAAATGTCATTTTTTGGTTTATATGACTGGAAGAAATTGTCCTAGACAGGCCTGAATTAACTCATGCTTTTGCCATAATAATCTGTTGCCAACATTATTTACTTGCTTTAACTAGACATTTTGACAAAGAAATGTAAGAATTAGGAAATTTACTCAGCTTTGGTGCTATTACTATAGAGCACATGTCAGAGCTCCTTAGCTTCGAGCCATGTTTTGTTCATCTTTGCATCCTTGCTTTACGTCTCTGCCTTACACATAAGAGCTCCTCAACTGGTGGTTTTTGAATGAATGAACAAATAGTAACAGTAGTCAAATTTGAGGTGGTTTGGCTGGAAAGAAATGGTGGTTAATCGTAATTGTAGACCACCAAACATTTTGTTTTGTTTGTCCCATGTTTTTATTTAACAAAGGTCTTTGTGACCTTGGTAGCTGGTGGGCTGTGGAAGCCACGTGTGGTACCTATAAATGCTCTTGAATATATGAACTCGAGAAGTAGATACTCTTCTAGTCTAACTTATTATTTGTTAATTAATAAATTTTATTTAGTGGTGTGATTTTTTTGTTTGTTCTTCATGCTGCAAAATTGAATCTGACCTGGAGTAAAATAATAGTAGCAATAATAATAGCAAACATACAGCACACTCAGCCTGTGCTAGGTACTGTTACTGTGCTTTACACATGTTAACTTATTTAATATTCATCAGAACCCTATTTTACAGATGAGGAAATTAGCTTACAATTTAGTAATACCCGTGCATACCTGCCTCCCCCTCTCCAACCACTGCTGTAACTACAAAAAGTGTTTTCTCTGAGAGCCTTGATTCTGGTTCTGCCATTTACTTCCTCTGGAAACTTCAGCCAGTTAAGCTGTCTAGAGGCTCTTCCACCTCTTTTTTTGGTAATAGTGGAGGTAGTAATACCTGCTCTGCCTTCTTACAGGGTTGTTAGGAATATCAAATGAAATAACATTTACAAATGCTTTTGTAAACTTTAAAGTACCATCCACATCTCATTTGCTTGTTATAAGATTTGATACCCAGTAATTATTATAAGGAGATACCACATTTCTCTGGTAAATAGCTGGCAGTGTGCAGAGAAGATGAGTCTATTAAAATTAGACTGTTTTATGAGAGGCTATTGTATGGGTGATAATATATGAACAGGCTATTAAAAAAGGTTCAGCTAAGATATTAAATGTCAGATTCCAAAGAGAGGTATCAGATCAAGATACAGGTTTCTGAAGCAGGTGGAAGACTGACCTATATGAAATGAAAGGATTAGAAGAGTACAGGTGGAAGATTGTGAAGAAATGTCTTTGCAGAAAGCTGTTACCTCCCCCATCGTCTCCCTGGCACATTTCCACACACAGATACCCAGCAGGTGAGGAAGGGAGTGCTGCCAGGGAGAGGGAGGCTTTGGTGTGTGACCTCTGAGGTCCCGAGGCACGTGTCTGGAAGCACACAAACAGATGTCTGACACATGCCTCAGAAGCCATGGCTCTCCACTTGCTGTGGAGGGAGTTGTTTATGTTTTGGAAAGTGACTGCGTGCTTTGGGGAGAGAGTGGTCAGCAATGGGTGAATCCTAAACATGGGCTGGAGTCTGTGCTTGGGTATAAGATGCCCTCTATCTTGTGAAAGACAGTTGCTGCCGTGTGGAGTTGGCAGCACTCCCAGAGCTTGTTAGAGCCAGGAATGAATAATGCTAGCTGGGACAGTGGACTGGCATAGGGATTATCTTAGACCCTGTCCAGCAGAGCCACCTAGAGGAGTGATGGGATCTCAGCAGAAGGGAAGCTAGAGATTTCCAGATTGCCGAGGGTTGTGAAGAGAGTAAGTGGAATGGAGTACCTTCGTCCAGATTAGTGGAGCTGCAGCCGAGCAGGACTGCTTTGTGGGTGTGCGTCCTATCCTGTGCACTTGCACAGGGCTCCACACTGCATTTAATACCCTGCGGTCACCATCTTGAAATTCTCCATCATTTTTGAACAAAGGGCCCTGCATTTTTGTTTTAATTTTGCACTGGGTCCCACAGATTACATAGCTGGTCCTGCATTGGACATTACCCACAAAGTTGGGAATCTCTCGTAAATCCAGAAAACTCTGGTTGAGAAAAGGAGCTTTAAAGATTTGTCAAGCTGAAAGAGCTAGACATCATTTTACAATGGGACCAGTCAAACACAAATTTCTGATATTTCAGTTGGGGCCTGAAACTACAAGCAAGAAAAGGTAGCAGTGTGGTTCAGAGGAATAAGTCATCCCCTGCTGCCTGTAAGCACACCCTGGTGGGGAGCTGAGGAGATGGGAGTGGGATGCAGATACTACCTTTGGGTGAAGATTGAAGTATTGAAAAGAAGAGAACATTCTAATTATGACTGCTTGTGAATGAATGTCAGAGTCATGAGACCTACTGTAATTTACATCCAGGGGTGGTGGAAAAGTCTCCTTCATATAATAAATTTTAAAGACATGATGAGAGACAAAAATAAGTATATTCTAACCACATTGTTTAATATACCAGTTACATATAGAAGCTATTATATATTAATATTTGGGCTAACTTTGCAGATTACTTTATATGAATTCTTGGAATTTGGAGAGTGCATTATAAAAGCAACCAGTGAGAGTTTTATGTTACCAGTTTTTAAAAATATATTCGGAATAATTTTATTAGTGTGGGCCTTGCCTTACATTCTTTGCCAGATCCTATTGCTCTCAGCTTTGTAGAAGATGCCTCACAACCTCTGTTCTCTGTTTTCAAATTCATTATCTCTATGGCTTTCTCTTCCTTGATTACACAAATTACTATTGTCTGTACTGCACTTAGAGTTTATTGCTCTAACTTTAAAAAAATAATTTAGTGTTTGAGATGGACTGTGTATTGACTCATTATGTTGACTTTGTTAAAACATGTACTGTAGATACCTGTAATCATGAGATCTTGGTTACAATTTGAGGTTTCTAATGAAAGATTTTAAATGCATTTTTTTTCTCCTTAGTATAATTTGTAGAGTGTTTTATTTTCAGTTACTGTTCCTTAGGAAATATTTATCTGTGTTCTTTCTGAGTCAATACATACTATAAGAAACTAAAGTTTGCAACCTAAGAAATGTATTGGTATCTTAACATTTTTCCCATTAAGTGAAATTCTTAAAAAAGTTTTCAGAATTGATGACTTTGATTTAATTTTTTATCTCTGATCTGCTTTGCACCTTTTTCCTATATTGAGATTTCATTAACATATTTCATTTCAGGCTTTTGTCTTCCTTAGATAATTTTGAAATGTAGAACTTTGTATTTATCATAAATAGTTAAAGAATCATGTTAAATTGAGTTTTGTATACTTGGTAGACCAGAAGCTTAGTAATTAATAGATTTTATTCATCTATATAATAGAGTAGTGCATTTTCTTTTAACAAATATTTTAGTGTTTTTTAAAATGATATCTACTCTTTGAAACCTTCCTTTAATCCCAGTCAACCCTTGTTTTGTAGCTCCCTAAGGGTAGGGATCAGATCTTAGCCATTTTGTAGAATTATGCTCCCTGTAGCATTTACATGGCAGCTTGGACAAGTAGGCACTCAGTAAATGAGAACTGATTGCATTTTTCAAAGTGAACATGTCAAATGTTTAATGACTTAATATTTGTCTTTTATTTTTTCAGGCTAATATTTCCAACAATCACTGGCCATCCTTGGTTCAAGAAGCTACAACTGAAGCCTTGAAACTTTGCTTTTGTCCACTGGCTGTCCTTTTACAAGCTTTGTTACAATTCAGCCGCAAAATGGGGGCAAGGTATCAAGAATCTTTTGTTCATTTTTTTCTTGGAAATATTTCTTCACTTTTAATCCTTCTAGGAAACAAAGATTTAGAATTAGTTTAAACAACTTTGGTATAATTCATACATATATATCTACTATGGACAGGCTAGTTCTAATAGCCCAATAAAGAAGAAAATAAAGTCTTAAAATTATTTTTAAAAAGTAATTTGGTAAACAGATATAGAATATGAGAGATCTGGCATGACAGCATTTCAAGTGAAGAAGGCCTTGGAATTTTTGCTTTTCACTTATTTTAGGTTGACCCAACAGTATATAAATGTGGATTCTAGAAACAAACAAAATCCAGAAGACCCAAGTTCAAGGCTAGGTTGACATAAGTTA